AATGCAGGCTTGAGCTGCCATCCATTCTAGAATTTGACTATAAACTTTGACTCTTCATCACATTATTCTTCCTCGTCTGCAATCCTATGCATATTTACACAGAGCAAGCTCCATTAAATTCAGCGAGACTTGCTTCTCATTTAGAATGCACAGGGTCAGACTGCACACCGAATAGTTGCCTAACAAAGCATCTTCTGCCAGCTAGAGTTTCAAAATGCTCATTTGGTTCTTCTAGCTTTAAACAGCTACTCTGAACGTGACACTGTCTCAGAAAAGAGGACCAACAGCCAGCCCTGCCCTGAATTTTGTCTTTTCCCTCTCTGCTCCCTCTATTGCCCCTGCAAGCTTGTTCAGCTAGGAGTTTAGCCTGAGCAGACACTTTCATCTTCCCATATTGCTTCGGAGTGAGTTGGCCCACAGTTCTGCAGCGCCATGTCTTTGGAGTCTGCATTAACGATCCAAAACAATCATAGACATAACAGTGTGATGGCAGCAACAAAAAAACCCATAATCTATCTTCCCTGGCTCTCCTTCAAGGGGCTTTCTGTCTGGCAAGCGACGGACCGACATGGGTCTTCTGTGACGGTCGCAATGGACACCTTGGAGACACTTGGTGGAGGGTTCTCTGCTTTGCAGGAAGCCTCCAGCTCCTTGAGGGTCTGCTTCAGCTGCTCCACTTCTTCCTTCAGGGCCTTGGTGCGGTTCTCTTCCCGGTTCAGCTTGGCTCTCAGCTGCTCCCGCTCGATGTCGAACTCCGAGAGCTGCTTCTCGACCTGGGCCTCCATCTGCAAGCCCCTCTTCTTCTTGGCTGCCAGCTCCTCCTCCAGCTGGCTCACTTTGCTCCTCTCCTTCTCCAGCTTCCCGCTCAGCTCCCCCAGCTTCTGGCCCTCCTCCGCAGCCTTGGCGGCGGCTTTCTTGCACTCCAGCACCAGCATGGAGGAGAGCTGCTTGTGATGGGCGTGCTCCTCCTCCAGCTGACTCGAGAGCTTCTTCTGCTCCCTTTCAAACTTCTTCACCTGGGACTTCTCAAATTCCAGCTGGAAGGGAAGAGAAAGAGGCTTAGGGGGAGGAGGGGACCATGTTGGGGCTTCTCAAACACTCCCCACAAAGAGAAAGATAATAATAACAATTATTATTATTATTATTATTAAGACCCTCACAATGTCAATTGTGTCAGTTAACGAGGGGGAGAACAAGTGCAAGAAAAACAAAGGTCTTTCTTGTGAAAATTCTGCCCTCCCAGGCTGACAGGTGTCTAAATCAACGGAAGATGATTTAGACACCTGTATAATAATAATAATAATAATTTATTTAATAATTTATTATTTAGACCCCGCCCATCTGGCTGGGTTTCCCCATTCACTCTGGGCGGCTTCCAACAAAACACTAAAATACAATAACCTATTAAACATTAAAATCTTCTCTAAACAGGGCTGCCTTCAGATGTCTTCTAAAAGTCTGGTAGTTGTTTTTCTCTTTGACATCCGGTGGGAGGGCGTTACACAGGGCAGGCGCCACCACCAAGAAGGATCTCTGCCTGGTTCCCTGTAACTTGGCTTCTCACAGCGAGGGAACCGCCAGAAGGCCCTTGGATCTCGACCTCAGTGTCCAGGTAGAACGATGGAGGTGGAGACACTCCTTCAGGTATACTGGGCCGAGGCCGTTTAGGGCTTTAAAGGTCAGCACCAACACTTTGAATCGTGCTCGGAAATGTACTGGGAGCCAGTTTAGGTCTTTCAAGACCCGAGTTATATGGTCTCGGTGGCCGCTCCCAGTCACCAGTCTAATTGTTGAGTACATAATGTACTTCCTGCAAACTGAGGGCCACATTCTCTTAGGTTAACAGTGTAAGAGACTTCCTACTTGCAGTAGGTAGGGGCGGAGCCAAAGATCCATTCATCCTATCACACAAACACAAACCTGTTCCCACTGTGCGACTGCAATTTGAAATTGGGGGGGGGGGATCCCCTCCCCTCCATGCAAATAGTAGGCATTGGGACTCCAGTTCCAGAATGGGACCAGGGGTGGGCTTTTAAACTTTGCTCCCACTGCAGTCCTGATCTTGACTGCCACAGCCATTGGCATTGGGGGAAAATTCGATCGACCCCTGTTTCTTCCCATGGGCAAACAGAAGAGGGGAGAGAAGACAATCATATTTTCACTACCACTAAAATGCACAGCGCAGAGCCAAAGGGTGTATCAAATTTCATAAGCTGCATTTCCTTTTATCCTCAAATGTTATTTTGAAAGACCTACATTGGCTCCCAGTACGTTTCCGAGCACAATTCAAAGTGTTGGTGTTGACCTTTAAAGCCCTAAACGGCCTCGGTCCTGTATACCTGAAGGGCGTCTCCACCCCCATTGTTCTGCCCGGACACTGAGGTCCAGCTCCGAGTGGCGGTTCCCATATTGCGAGAAGCAAAGCTACAGGGAACCAGGCAGAGGGCCTTCTTCAGTAGTGGCGCCCGCCCTGTGGAACGCCCTCCCTTCAGATGTCAAAGAAATAAACAACTACCCGACATTTAGAAGACATCTGAAAGCAACCCTTTAGGAAGCTTTTAATGTTTGAAGTTTTATTCTGTTTTCAAAGTTCTGTTGAAAGCAGCCCAGAGTGGCTGGAGAAACCAAGCCAGATGGGTGGGTTATAAATATTAATAATAATAATAATAATAATAATAATAATAATAATAATAATAATATAGAAGTCGACCAAGGCTTCTACAGGGGCACCAGTCATATCAGCTAGAAAATCTCCCACACCCATCTGGAAACTCCACCAGCCTCCAAGGTTGGACCATCCTAACAGATCCCCATCCTCTGTAGAGGGGGAAAGGCAATGAAAGTTTAAATCTCAACAGGAAGTGATCTGGCCACAACAAGGAACTGATGTCAATACCCCCTGCTTTCGGATCACCCTCTTTCTGCCCTCGCCATGCGTTAGACATGGTGGAATAGCCACAAAAACAAACAGGACCTCAAAGAGCAAGAGTCCTCTAATACAGTGTTTTTCGACCACCGTTCCGCGGCACACTAGTGTGCCGTGAGATGTTGCCTGGTGTGCCGTGCGGAAAATCGAAAAATTCGAAAGATTTTTTTAAAAATAAAAATGTCAAATTTTCGCCCACTAGGCGGGCGCCGGACTGTGTCCACCCTGATTTTCCATCCGTCCTGGGTGGGGATCAGATCGGATGGGATCGGATGAGAGCGGACATCCGATTCCCCATAGAGAGCAGCGGGGCTCTGACATCTCCCTCTCCGCACACAGTGCTGTCATCCGCCGGCTCATATTTCTGTTTACTTACTATTTCATAATAAAGTAATTATAAAATACTTTCTTTGTGTTTATTTGATTCCTATTCAAGAGAATTACTTTATATATAGTCAATATAGGCACAGAGTTAATTTTTTTAACATTTTCTAATGGTGGTGTGCCTCGTGATTTTTTTCATGAAACAAGTGTGCCTTTGCCCAAAAGAGGTTGAAAAACACTGCTCTAATAGCTTGTTCCTGAACCTCTCTGCTGGAAATAAAATAACTGTTCTGATGACTTGGACATTACTTAACTAACTGTTTGTTTTGTGAGCGGCCAGGCGTCAATATGTACATCCCTCCTGTAATATCGTCCCTCCCCTTCCTAAATCCTTAAGTGTGTCTCTTTGTCCATGCTATAGAATAATTGATGGTTTATAGGTTACATGCTCTCGTCAGATGAAAGAAACGTTTCAATAAACACACTCCTCTTAAGAACACTCGGAGAAATTCCACTGTCACAAGTTTTCAAAAGGCAAAACGAAAAACTCAAAAGCATGTTGTCAGGGGCTCAGGAGCAGAGGCACAGGAAAGGGAGGAAATAGAGAGCGAGGGGGAGGAATCTGAAGGAAATGTTAGCGATGACAGCGGCCCGAGGTCTCTGAGTCTTTCCAGTGAATCGGAAGATTCACAGGAAGGGGCGCCCATGGTCAGAGCAAGGGGGGCGCCCAGGGGGACACCCCAGGAAGAAGGGGCCAGAGGGGACTCAGAGAGCAGCAGTTGGAAATCAGGACCAGCTTCCCACCAGAGCGCAGTAGGGGGAGGAGTCCCAGGTATCGGGATCAGGCGGCTCGCCGCCAGCGGGAGGATATGAGTCAGGATTGGCCACACCTCCATCGGGGAGCGAGGAAACGGTCAAGAGGAAGGTTGAAGGCTGGGCGCGCGCGCCAAGTTCAAATGCACAGGAAGGGCGGCACAGTAAGTAGCCTGGATAGGGAGCCAGGTCCTAAGCCCGCCGAAAGGAGGGAGAAGAGTCCGGGGGTCGGCGTCAGAAGGTCCAGAAAGGATGGGGACCACGGGGGGCAGAGAGACCCAGAGGAGGAAGGAGAGACGGAAGAGGTGGAGTAAGGTTAGAGTCTTAAGTTGGTGTACAGGGGGTGGAGACCAGACGGAGCTTCGCCGGTCTAGCTTCTAAGACGTAGAGCTGCGCGCTGCGGCTTGGAAATGGAAACTGTACTTCAATAAAGACTTTTGTACATTACTGCCGGCTAGCGTTGGTCCTCTGTGAGCTGGGACCTGGAGGCAGCTCTGACACATGTTATAACTTGTTAGAACATCAAGAATATTGGAAGCATACCGTAAAGCTGTTGTTGACATTTTTTGTGCTTGATTCAGCCACACTGGCATCCGACAAGTCAACTTCATCGAAGATTAAAGACTGTGAAAAGAACACAGAGGATGCGTTTCATTTTCTACATACACAGGAATGATACTTGCCCGTTATCTTTTCAGGGGGTTTTTAAAAGTAAAAGCCAGGGAATCAGTCAATGCTCGCTAGGCCTGCAAACCAGATGTTCCTGACCTAACATTTTCATCCCAGAAAGCAGAAATCAAACCCACTACTAATTTATTTTTTAAATGTGCTAGAAAAATACAAGGAACCTATGCAGGCAACACAACTAATTTTTTACAAAAGCAGGGGAGATACTTTTAAAACTGTTTTCATAATAGGCAAAGAGAAAGACCCAAATGCAGTTAGTATTATAGAGACGGCATATTGATTTCTACCAGAATGAATCTTTACCTTTGAATCCTTGGCATAGTAAAGGGTTCGGCCCCGAAGCTTAAAGTAACGTTTTTTCCATCGCTGAAAAGAGCTGGTTTGCTTCAGAAGTAATCCTTCCTTTATACTGGTCTTGAGGGGGAAGAAAAAGAAAGGAAAACAAAATTACACATGTGCCAAAATTGTTACATATATTGCAAAATAATTATCTTATTTCTAAAAACTGAAACCTGGACCTAGTTCCAGGGTTGGTTTACCTTTACCAGTGCTTTTTTTCTGAGGGGACGCAGCCGTACGCACCCCCTAAAACATTTTGTGAATCTAAGTTTGGCCTCATTGAGGGGCAGTCTTTCAATATGAGCAGAAATATAAGAGTACCCCTAAACATATATTTTTTTAAAGCACTGCCTTTTACTCATTTGATCTGAATTAAAACCCTATCAGTATGACTTCATTAGAAAGACTGAATTCTACCCAATTACCACAAGGTGGCAGTATGGTTATAATTAATTAAAAGTTCTCAAGGAGATCCAAAATGCTACAGTGATCACTGTAACCTAATGGCTTATTCCAAAACAGACGCTGCACAATAAAAAACCAACAACAGCAGGCGTAGGTTCACAAGTGGTTGCATAAGCTGCACACTTACAGATAAATAAATCCACTTCTGCTCCATAACGGATAAATTTGTGAAGCCCACATGGAATTGGGCCAGAAGAAAAGACGAAGAAATATGACAGAAAGTCTCCTCTTTCATCTTATCATGATCAAACTAATCTTTGACCAAGGAAATGTTGGGAAACATGGTGTGATTCACTGGCTGTAATTTACACCGTTCCGTCAGAACATACTGACCCATTATGCCAATTAAGTATGATATACCGTACTTTTCCGTGTATATCACGTCCCCATGTATAAGACGCCTCCTATTTTGGGGGAGTAAAAATTAATAAAATGGAGGGAGATTGCACAGAATTTGTTGAGATTTCTTTGGGGGGGGGTTCCCACCCAACTGCCACAGCAACATCCAATCAACACCAACCCTTGCTGCAGACACCAATAACATGCTGCACAGTAATCGCTGGCTCGCGGCACCAAATCCCACGTCCCACCAATCCCTCTGTCCCAGCTCCTGCCAACCTAGCAGTTCGAAAGCACACCAGCGCAAGCGGCATAAATAGGTACCACTGCGGTGGGAAGGTAAACGGCATTTCCGTGCGCTCTGGTTTCCTTCACAGTGTCCTATTGCACCAGAAGCGGTTTTAGACCTGCTGGCCACATGGCCCGGAAAGCTGTCTGTGGACAAACGCTGGCTCCCTCGGCCTGAAAGCGAGATGAGCGCCACAACCCCATAGTCACCTTTGACTGGACTTAACCCGTCCAGGGATCCTTACCTTTACCTTTTACTACCCATGTATAAGACGTCCCCCAATTTTAAACATAATTTTTCAGTAAAAAAACCCAAAACTAGTCTTATACATGGAAAAGTATGGTAACTCTCAAATAGGATGTGTTTCAAACTGTGTGCAGCAGCACCCAAATTGATGCAAGATTTAACAACTCGCCTTTGAGTTTACCATTACAGTCGTACCTTGGTTTTCGAACAACTTAGTCCCTGAACGTTTTGGTTCCTGAATGCCGCAAACCCAAAAATGACTGTTCTGGTTTGTGAACTAATTCTGGAAGTCGAATGTCCGAGGGGACTTCCGATTGGCTGCAGGAGCTTCCTGCAGCCAATCAGAGCTGTGCTTTGATTTTTGAACATTTTGGAAGTCGAACATTTTGGAAGTCGAAAGTCATTTCTTTGAGTATCTAAGCAAACCATTTGTTTTGTTTAATTCATAAAAGAAAACACAGCATAGTAACTATTTAAGGCTGAAACAAAAAAGACCACTGAGGCAACTTAGACAGTAACAAATTTGTTCTGGCCTAACCTTTCATGGACCACAATGCATCTCATCATTTACCTGCAGGAAGCCCCATTCAGGTGGACTTACTTTCTCTGCGACCCACTGAAGCAAATGGAGCTTAACTTTCGCATTGATTCAATGGGGCCTAAATGCAACTAGCTGGATCAACTCATGATTTTTAAGCACCAAATATTACTTTGACATATCATTAATGTATTGGAAGCGATGACAAACCTAGACAGCATCTTAAAAAGCAGAGACATCACCTTGCCGGACAAAGGTCCGTACAGTGGTGCCTCGCAAGACAAAATTAATTCGTTCCGCAAGTTTTTCTTCTTGCGAGTTTTTCGTCTTGCGAAGCACGGTTTCCCATAGGAATGCATTGAAAATCAATTAATGCGTTTCTATGGAAACCACTTCAGACCAGGTCCGGGGACAGTCTGTCCCCCGACCTCTTCTGAAGGCTGGGGGGGGACCAAGGGCTTTTCTTCCACCCCCAGCATTTTAAAAAAACCCCGGGACAGCGGGGGGACTTCTCTGCTGTCCGAGGCGATCTTAAATGCTGACGGGCGGGAGCGAAGCCTCCGCTGCTGCCCGCCAGCATTTTAAAAAGCCCCGGGACAGCGGGGGACTTCTCTGCTGTCCCTGGGCGATTTAAAAGCCCCCGGGAAGGCAGGCAGGGGGACAAAGACTTTCACCCCCCGCCGGCCTTCAGAAGAGGTCCAGGACCTCTTTTGAAGGCGGGCGGGGTGCGAAAGTCTTTGCTCCCCCCCGCCTGCCTTCAAAAGCCGTCCAGGACAGCGGAGAAACGAAGGCTGGCGGCGGGAGGAGGTCTCTCCGCCCGCCGCCAGCCTTCGGAGGAGGTCCGAGGACAGTGGGGAAGACGCGCTGCGCTTCCCCGCTGTCCCGGAGATTTCCCTATGGGCTTTCGTCTTGCGAAGGAAGCCCATAGGGAAATTCGTTTTGCGAAGCGCCTCCAAAACGGAAAACCCTTTCGTCTAGCAGGTTTTCCGTCTTGCGAGGCGTTCGTCTTGCGGGGCACCACTGTATAGTTAAAGCTATGGTTTTTGCAATAGTGATGTATGGAAGTGAGAGCTGGACCATAAAGAAGCTGATAGCCGAAGAATTGATGCTTTTGAATTATGGTGCTGGAAGAGACTCTTGAGAGCCCCATGGACTGCAAGAAGATCAAACCTATCCATTCTGAAGGAAATCAGCCCTGAGTGCTCACTGGAAGGACAGATCCTGAAGCTGAGGCTCCAATACTTTGGCCACCTCATGAGAAGAGAAGACTCCCTGGAAAAGACCCTGATGTTGGGAAAGATGGAGGGCACAAGGAGAAGGGGACGACAGAGGACGAGATGGTTGGATAGTGTTCTTGAAGCTACCAGCATGAGTCTGACCAAACTGCGGGAGGCAGTGGGAGACAGGAGTGCCTGGCTTGCCCTGGTCCATGGGGTCACGAAGAGTTGGACACAACTGAATGACTAAACAACAACAATGTACTGAAAAGATGCAGAACTGGTGGCTTTCCTAGGACACACCTAGAAAGGACTAAAACTCACATTTTAAAGTTGGGGAAATGTCAAAAGTATTCTGCGTCTCATGGCTGTGACACAGCACCATTTTCTGCTTTACTCTAGAGCTTTGTGGAAGCTGCCAGGATTATTATTATTATTATTATTATTATTATTATTATTATTATTATTGCACAATGGCAGCACCACAGATGTGGCTCATCATTAGAAACATTCATCACATCGTTCCCTTTGACCACATGACATTTTTTCACATGTGTCGGGAGCACAACATGATTTGTAGCCCATCCTGGTCGGCCCCTCCTCTCATTCTAACCCCAACAAAAAGTTTCACAACAACTTCCATGAGGCTGAATAAAATGCACACTGGGATCCAAAACAGTTGGAAGAATGTAAGGAGGATTTCACCTATGCCCCACAGACTTGGTGTAGCAGGATGATTCAGACTATGAGAGCTGATTCCAGCCTTAGCAATGAGAAAATAGTAATCTAATGTATCTCTCCAGAAGATCCCAAAGTCTCTGGGGTTCTCCATATCAGCTCCCATTCATGTTGCAACACAGAAGGCCCTTTTGAGGGGCAAAGACTCAGAGCACTCACTAAACAAAGCACACAGAATTCCCAAGACTTCTCAATGTAGCAAATAAAGAATATTTGCTGGAAAATGCAAAAAGAAACACATGGGAAAGGATACAAGATGGTTTTTCAGAAACAGATGGTTACAGAATATCACACAGGATGGAAATCAACCTTCACCTTTTAGTTTACTACAGTTAGCACTTACGTCAAATGGAGAGTATGTCTATGACAAACTAGTTTTACTTTTTTAATTCTATGCATAGTTTAATGTTTTCATGTACACGGTAACATAGCAAGTTTTCCCAAAATACTCTTCAGCTTGAAATGTCAGTGAAATCCAAAGTGCCAAACAGTTGCTTTTGATAATTGTTATATATTTGTGGGACCCCCCCAAAAAAAGAACCTAGGAATTAATAAATTGTAGGATTTTGATTATTTGGGATGTGAAGACAGAAATACCAGCTGCAGAGGAATTCCTGGGCTAGCCTGTGCAAAACAACCTGGCCTAGCTAGGGCCATTAAGAAACAATAGAGGGCAACTGAGGGCCATTGGCAACGCAAGAGAACTGTCCTCCCCCCCTTGCCCCCAGAGAGACTGGGGGTTCAGAAGGTTGCCAGCGTGAGAGGGTGACAAGAAAAGGGAGTTTTGTAGCAGAGTGTTCTGGGCAGAAGGAGGAGGAAGAGAGACTGAGATCCATCTTGGGCAGGCTGGCTGAAGGCTGGCTGGGAGAGATGCCTCTGATTCTGTGGCTGCACTGCTGTGGGGGAACACATCCCTCTTGGAATGACCACACTGTAAGATCTGGACTCTCTCCATGAAGACGGAAGCTGCAAACAGGTGAATAAACTATTTTTGAAAGCTACGACAGACTCTGCTATGCCTCAGTTCTCCAAAGGAACACAGACCCAGGGTGAGTGCCAGGAATGCCTTGGGTCTTGCCACCGCTCTGCAGGGAGAGGCGGTGGATCCCGAATTGGATGTTTGTTCTAGAAGAGACTGACATTTTCAAATTCACCCTATAAAGCCACACCTCATCCTTTAAACAAATTAGCGCTGACACAGAACAGCGCAGTGCTGCACCAGACAAGGAAGCCTAGTGTTGTTGATCAGCAGATTTGCCCTTGCAGGAATGCATGCATTCACATCTACTTGAGTGTTACACCTGTAGGGAAGCAAGTAGCAATACAATCCGTGGGATCTTTACTGGAGACACACAAATAGAGAGGACTGCATAGGCTCTGAGCCTTAGACACCTTTTGCTTTGCCTGGGAAAATGTAGCATGGACCAAAATTCCTGCACATGCTCTCTATGCCTAGCAAAAACACACACTGCAACGTCAATTCTAATATTTTTATTTGTAAATAAACACAGGTTTTAAAATACAGTCATACCTTGGAAGTCGAACAGAATCCGTTCCGGAAGTCCGTTCCGACTTCCAAAATGTTCGAAAACCAAAGCGCGGCTTCTGATTGGCTGCAGGAAGCTCCTGCAGCCAATCAGAAGCCGTGGAAGCCCCTGCGGACGTTTGGCTTCCAAAAATAGTTCATAAACTGGTACAGTCCCTTCCGACTTTGGGAGACAAAATGTCCAGGAACTAAGCTGTTCAAATTCCAAGGTACGACTGCAATAACATGGCCAATATAAAATGAATTAGAAACGACGAAAGTAGCTTTAAATCTTGAAAGTTAACAGTGTTGACAAGCTTATTCATGCATGCCATCTACTTAGTTACTGGGAAAGCGGCAAAGTCGCCTAATAAGGAATTATAAGGCAGAGTTTTTAAAGACCCTGCTTGCTATGGGATTGCAAGCGAACTAGGAAGGGGAAAATATTACATGCAAAGCAGAAGGCGTCTCATCTCACAAGAGCAAGATTGGAGCAAAACTAAGCAAATGGGAATAGGGGGGGAAATGGAGGTAGCGAGGCATTAATATTACCTATCCAGGTTATTTGGAGAGCCTGCAGCGTTCCTTCACTGTAGCTTAAAATAAGCAGATGATGCGACAGCAGTGCCTTCAAGCAGAACTCAGCATCTCCCTCTGGAATAGCAAGCGATGTTTGTGGTCTCCCCTTTCTTGTGTGACTCAAGCAATCCTCTGGGACGCCGAATAGGCCAACCAGAGAGCTGCTTTCCAGCAGCCTCCTTTTATATATGCCGGGTTTTCAAGAACCCTTCAGTGCAGCTGAAAAACAGAAAACCCTGCCCTCTTTTCTAAAATCGCAGTCTGGTGCCTTCCCCAGCAATGTTCCTTATTGGCTTCCCGGCAAGGGGAAAGCGAAGGCAAAGAGGGAGTCTCACTAAGGCTTAGTGGAAGAAAGCAAGAACCAGGCATTTGCAATGTGCAAATGGAGTGCAAATGGCCAGAAATGGAGTGGAATAGATTAGTTCTGCCCCCAGGATTAGCAATTAACCTCGGATCTATTCAAAAAGGCTCCAAGCTTGCACTCCACTCGACTCAGCTAACGCCTGCTTGCTTTACCACCCAGTTTACTGTGCATAGGACGGCTCCCTTAGTGATTTGCTGTACATAGGTCAGTCTCTTAAACACAAGAACAAGACAAGGAGCCCCTAGCACCCAATTGCACCAATGGGGGGGGGGCTTCTGGCGGTTCCCTCATTGCGAAAAGCAAAGCTACAGGGAACCAGGCAAAGGGCCTTCTCGGTAGTGGCACCCGCCCTGTGGAACACCCTCCCATCAGATGTCAAAGAGATAAACAACTACCTGACATTCAGAAGACATCTGAAGGCAGCCCTGTTCAGGGAAGTTTTTAATGTGTGACATTTTAGTGTATTTTTGGTCTCTGTGGAAGCCGCCCAGAGTGGCTGGGGAAACCCAGCCAGATGGGCGGGGTACAAATAATAAATTATTATTATTATTATTTGTCCACATAGCTCAGTATTTCTAACACGGACATCCAAGACGTATTAAACATAGGAATTGCCCCTTAATGGGTTTCTTTTTCACAGCTATGCAATTAGAAAGAACAGCCTAGAAATCAATGATATACATTGAAAGAAAGAAAGAAAGAAAAGAAAAAAGAAAGAAAGAAAGAAAGAAAGAAAGAAAGAAGCCATCAAATAGGTTAATTTACAAAACAGATCAATACTAACTATGCAGTCAAGAAAGGGGGAAAAGCTATATAAATCGGAAGTGGCTACCAGTTTATGTATTCAACAGTGCAATCGGGATTATATAGGCTCCATATTCTCTGGTTTTTAGATAATCCAATAGTGTGTTCAATTGTAAATCTTGCTACCTCCATCAGCAGCTTTTAAACTTCGAGATCAGGTCATCAGAAGCAGATCTAGTTAATTCTACGACAGAAGATAGAATGGGTGGCATTTTCTGTATTGCAGAAAGATGAAGGCAATTATGTAAAAACTATACTCAATTCGACAGATTTGAGTTTTACTATTGATATTTAAAATTGTTACAAATTACTTTCAACTTCCACTTTTTAAAATGTCTGATTATATAGAATTTTCTTTTAAAAAAAGAGGGGAGTGATAGCTGTGTAGAACCAAAGATGAACTGTTCCAGAAACAAGGATTACACCATGATGGCCGTCAAGATAACCCCAAAATTAATTGGTAGTTGCTGTAGCAATGAGCTCATATATGCTGGTGTACTTGCTTGGGTGTACACTAATTGGTTTGCTTTGAAAGTACCGTTTGCCTGTGGGTCTGGAAATACTGGGCTGTGAGCCCAGAAAGGGTGAACCATTGGTAATGTTTTGGGGACTGGCCACCTGTGTGTCCATCTCTTTGGGCAATGTGATGTGTACTGCTTCACTGTAAACAGAATGCACGCACTTTGGGATAGATGAGGACAAGACATCTCCTTGCTGAGGTGCTCACTGCTGTCCGTCCCAAGTTTGTCGGAGCAAAGGGAATGGGCAGGCTGCTTCTGCTGTAAGTCTATACAGTGGTACCTCGGGTTAAGTACTTAATTTGTTCCGGAGGTCCGTTCTTAACCTGAAACTATTCATAACCTGAAGCACCACTTTAGCTAATAGGGCCTCCCGCTGCTGGCGCATGATTTCTGTTCTCACCCTGAAGCAAAGTTCTTAACCCGAGGTACTATTTCTGGGTTAGCGGAGTCTGTAACCTGAAGCGTCTGTAACCTGAAGTGTCTGTAACCCGAGGTACCACTGTACTTTTCTTTAATAAAGCATTAGGCTCCTTCCCAGCCAGGATCTCAAACTCCTACAAGCTCTCCTCTAGCTCAAGGGTCTGCATGCAATTCACACACAAAAAAGCTGATTTTGAAACTTTGCCGTAAAGAAGGGGAGAAAAATAGCAGATTTTTAACCTGTGATTAAGATCTTCCCCTCCAGACAAGTGCAGAATATGAATATACAATACTGAAAAGAAAATCACTTGAAGCAACACTTTTTTTTTATTGTTAGAAAAGAGCTGCAAAGTAATTGTATCCTGTCAGCTGTAACAGTTAGTCAAACTCTCCAATGACACCCTGTTATTTTCACACTCAACTTTCTGTGCAAATGGCAATTAAGCCCTGACTTGAAGTTTCTTCACTGATATACATTCACGAGCAGCTAACCTCATTATCTTATTCTTTAAGGAAGCATTCTCATAATTTGACACTAATGGCCACTAAACTCTGTGGTTTGCACTACTGAGCTACTAGTAAAAGCACTAGAGGCAGAAAACCTGGTTGGAGTCAGTCTCACTCCAAGCATCTATGTGATAATAATGTTGGGGTCGCCAATGTGTCACCCAGTGCCTCTGTCTGATGGCGTCTGCAAATAGCCTCCGTAAATACCCCATCAAAAACCTGCAA